GCGTATCATTTGTGATGCACTCAAAAGGCTGTGTCACTACAAAAACAATAACGAAATAATCGTTTATTGTAGATGTGTGCAGATTTAATAACGTGTTTGGTGAGACATTATTTGGGTGATAATGCGACTACGAGTGCAGTCTGTAATCAATTACGAACCACGTGTCCGACTCTCTTCTCTGACGAAGATGCTACTGCTACAAGGGTTATTTTGTTTTTGTTGATGAGAATGTAGTGCATACCAACTGGTGCTTGCAAAATGTCAACCATTTTACAGTCCCAAAATCGTTTTTTCAATCGCAGGTTAATTTTAGGATCCATCAGCTTCAAAAATATAGAAGTGTCACGTGTTCAACACATTCTTTTTGAATCAGTGCGTTCATAGTCATGTGAAAAACAATTCAGTTAACGAATCATACCGACGATAGCATTTTAAAATCTAGATTATTTTGATTTTCGAACGACATTTTTTTCATGAGCAATGTTTAATGAAGTTTATTCGATTCGTAATTTAACGTTTTGTGAAAACTTTTGTCTTTGAAGGCAACTGAAATGTTAGAAGAAGCGCATTTAATGGAGCCGTGTCCGACGCGAACGGAATTGATTGATGAGGCGATTCGTATGCTGAAAGTTGGTGTTCATAAACTCAATCTACCCGTCATATGTCAACTCCTTCACGAAGGTAACGTTTCGCATTTTCTCGTGATCATTAATGTGTTCAATTTGATATTCATTCAAGGCATAGAAACAAAGTTCAGTTGTTGTAATTTTATTGGTTTTGTTGTTGAGGATGTTATCACTTGATTTGAATAATCAAAGTGGAAAATTACAGTGGATTGCGTGGAAGGTATAGTTGAGTTGGCATTAGCACGCGCTGAACGAAGTGATCCGAGAATGTTGGCGTTAATTGCTTATAAGAGTCATTCGGCTGAAACTGATTCACTCACGCAAGATGCATTCAACAAACGGTTCGTGTTCATCTCTATCTCATTTTTCACGTATTCGTTCCATTTTTGAAATGTCCAATCAGTTTTCAAACAAATAGTATCTTTTTTATAATTTAGCGATATTGATTTGTTGCATACAATTTGTTATTTTTCAGGAAATCAGCGTACAAATGCATAACGGATGCATTGGATCGTATACAAGCAGACGTTCGTACCAAATCCGGTATAGCATTACAGTCTGCGGTTGTTTCACGCGATTTGATCATCAATTGCGTTTTACGCTCCAAAGACGAACTCGCCAATGTTGCGGTCTTCAAGTGGCTTTTAGCTAATCAACTCAGCAATGTCGTTGTTGAGGTTCACTCTTGTTTCTTTCTTTCATCAGCAGTAATACACTGGTCATGATAAAAATAAGAATAGGAATGAATGATTAAATTAGGCAATATAAATGTCTGCTGATAGTGAATGTAGAGTCAAGCAGATGAAATTTCAGAGTAAATCGCCATTCGCCGAATCGTTTCTTCATACGTTGGTGGAAGGAGGAGGAGCGAGCAGTTATTTGGATTTGTTGTGGCGTTTTCATGAAAAGAATGGCAATTTTGCGAAGGCAGCGAAATTACTGTATTCGTTGGCTAGACGAGACACGTTCGTTTTGACGTTTTTTGATTTTTGGGTCTTTGGGATGCACATACCTCAACTTGCAATCAGTTCAGCATTTTATATCGTAACATTTGTTTTTAGTTGTTAAGAATATTTCGTTATTGCTAATTATGATGTTTCGAATGCGTTCGATAGTAGTGATGTATAAGACCGCCGTAGCAAATTGGTGCTCAAATAATAAGATTCGATTCTCTAGTGTTGATGTAATATTAAGTAATGATATAGTATGAATTGAATCTGAGCAGATGAGTGACGAATGAAATAGTGTATATTTAGGAATGCATTCGACCTTCGCCGCCGTGTCGCATACTTGTCACAAGCATCAATGTGTGCGAAATCGGCAATAAGTCAGCAAAGTGACCAATTGAAGGATCAGAATTTCATTGTGGCAATACAAGATGAATTGGATGTGGCCGAAATTCAGTTGGCTACAAAGTTTGTTTCCATCGATATTCATTCTTGTTGCAACAAATTTAGAATAGAATGAATTTTGTTTTGAGCTATTGAATCGCATTTTCGATGTGCATTCAGTTGTTTTGCAGTTTTGCGATTAATTGTCTTTTACAGATTTATTTCAGTATTGAGTAAGATTCCGCTG